AAAAATTTAACTAAGTAAAATATGTCTGTGTGTTTATATTTGTGTATAAAAAGGGTAATATAAAAAAATACATGAATTAAAATAAACTCTGGGAATGAGGTGATCGCTACCAGGTTGGTTCTATTATAATTCATATAAATAAATATATAAAAAGTAAACATTATGTCTTAAAAATAATATCTTGGTAAACATATTTTTACCTAGGATCCGGACGTGTAGTGGCGGCGTAATGAATCTACTACACCACAACATCGGGTGTGTGTCGTGAGAGGGGATAAATGAGCTCTTAATATTGCAATTAACAATTTCATTGGTGCCGGCGGGGATCGAAACCGGGTTGCTCGCGTACTGTGCTCGTTTACACCGAGCGCTTAGACCCTGAGCTACCACGTCTGTGTATATTATATATTGTAAATCTAAGGAGGAGTCTTTTGTTCAACATAGGACTCTTAATAGACTGTAACGGTATTTAAAATTGTATTAAGACTACATACGATATCATTTTAAAATAACTAAGTTCATGTGCTTCGGAATACTCCAGGGTAAAATAACGACCAACGCTTTATGTTTTCTTAACCAAAGTTCTGGTAAACACCAAGAAGCCCCTGCGGGCGCAAAAACGACTTACGTACTGAGACTGAACACTGCAGCTCTGCTTTACTTATAATTGAATAAAACATTTGAAATTTCAAAAGCATGACTTTATTGGGTTTCTTGGGTGAGAACTTTTTTGTACAATTATATAGCTAGCAACAGATAAATAAAAATATTCTAGTAATTTTGCCGACTATTCTATTGTCTTTGTTAGTCTTATAATTATTTTTTCATAACAACTGATTGTATTGTATGAAGAGATCACTGGTGAACGAATAAAATATAGACGTCGTGCATCAAACTCTTTGCGTGCCCTATCATATAGTCACTTGAGCTGTACCTTATTGAACTTGCCAATACAAGGAGAACTAGAAAATATTTCTTCCTAATCTTTAGTCAGTCTTTTGAGCTCCAGCTCTCAAACTTACTGATCCGTAATAGGGCTATAATACTTACACTTTTTATAAGGTAGATATTGTCAATTTTATTACTGTAGTAGTCTACTAAACTATTTAAGGATTTCTCATTCGGCCAGAAATAAAGATATTCGTTTTCGTATTATTATATTTCGTATCACCTCAGCCACTGACGATTCTTTCGTTGATGTGGGTAATTATTTGCACACGAATCTGCAGAGTACCTATTTCTAGAAGTAGATATTAAGGGTTTGATTATCGTGCTCGGAGTTGTTTACTGCCCTCCTTCAACTGATTATTTTTCCCATATTGAATCTGTGGTAGACTCTATCAGCACAATTAACAAACATATTATACGTAGGTGACTTCAACACTAACTTACTAAAGGATTCCCCTCAGGGTCGCAAACACAAAGCTTTCATAGACTCTATATTCTTCCATTTGGTTCAACTCACCACAACGTAAACACCGAAAATTCATGGCTAGACATCATTTGCATAGTTCAACGGGTCATATTATATATCATGATCAACTGGCTGTTCCAGCATTTTCTCGACACGATCTTCTGGTCATGTCGTATAAATTAAAGATCCCCAAGCCAAGACCAGTAATTGTGTATTTACGTAATTTTATTAAAATTGACACCACTCAACTAGAACGCGATGCTAAGAATATAGAATGGGGTCCATTGCTGGAGGCAAATAATATTGACGACAAAATTATTTATTTGAACACCCAAATTCTCGACTTATTCGATAGGCATGCACCAGTTCGGGCAGTCAGGTTACGTCGACCTCCTGCACCGTGGATAACTGATGAAGTGCGTAGAGCAATGGTAAAAAGAGATCGAGCTTTTCACGTTTTTAAAAAGAATCGGAATATTCTTACCTTTCAACACTATAAGCGAGCACGAAACCGCTGTAATCAGGTGGTAAGAACTGCCAAACGCCGCTACAATCACAATAGTATTTTAAACTCGTCTTCTGCAACCATACGGATGTTCCTTAATTCCCTGGGATTTGGAAAATCACATTCCAATTCTCTAATTCCAAATATTTCACTCAACGACTTAAACATGCACTTGTCTTCTGCTTCGCGCCTGAATTATTCCACTAAAACTACGACTCTCCTGGAACTTAATTTCATGCCACTGCTATCGAGTAATTCTTTCAACTTCAGTTCAGTGACTGATGAGGATACTAGAAAAGCCATACTTTCAATAAAATCTTCCGCAACCGGCTATGATGAGGTAAGTAGATCTATGATACTTCTCATACTCGATATCATTACTCCAGTTCTCACTCACATCATCAATTTCTCACTTTTTACTAGCGTCTTCCCCAAGTTATGGTTAAAAGCTTTTGTCTTGCCACTTGCTAAAGTACCAAATCCATCGCTTCCTTCCCATTTCAAACCTATTTCTATACTGCCGTTTCTTTCCAAAGTACTTGAATCACTGGTACAAAAACAAGTAACCTCTTTCATTCAAGTTCATTAGTACATATCAGTCTGGGTTCCGCCCGGGACACAGTACAACCACAGCATTACTTCAAGTTACAGAAGATTTTAGAAATGGCATGGAGAGGTCATCTTTGACTGTACTTATCCTTATTGACTTTTCAAACGCATTCAATTGTGTCGATCACGACTTACTCCTTGAATTACTTTCACGACTAAATTTCGCCTCGTCAGCACTGAACTGGTTTTCCTTCGTGGCGGTCGCCAGCAGGCTGTTTGGTCTGGTCAGGATTTTTCCGACTGGTGCGACCTGTCTATAGGTGTACCGCAAGGCGGCATTCTTTCTCCTCTCGTTTTCGGTGTTCATCAATCTTCTAACTACCCACCTTCAATGTTCTTACCACCTCTATGCTGGCGATCTCCAGTTATACTCACAAGCGTCCTTGGCTGAAATTGATTCTGCTATCGCAGCTATTCGTGACTTACAACGTATATCACACGGTCACAGCGCTTCGGTATAACGGTAATTCCCAATAAATGCCAGGCTATTGTCATTGGTAGTCGTCGATTGGTGTCACAACTTAACATATCTGAACTACCATCCATTTACTGTGAAAACTGCGTTATAGCCATCAGAAATAGTGTCAAGGATCTGGGTTTAATTATCGACCCGTCTCTTAGTTAGATATCATAGGTGTCCGAGTTTTGTAGTAAAGTCATAGGCATACTTCGTTCCTTCTATCGCCCTAAGTTCTTTCTGCCTCCTTCAACTAAACGTCTTCTCGTCCAAACTCTGATTATTCCATTATTTGACTATACCGATGTTTGTCTAACTAATATTTCTCAGGAGCTGCTAAACAGGTTGGACGGGTTACTTAACAAGTGTATCCGATTCATCTTTGGCCCGCGCAAATATGATCACGTATCAGAATTTGGCTCTCAGTTAAAGTGGTGGACTACACGCCAGCGCAGAGATTTCAGAATCCTGTCCACTCTGTTTTCAGTTCTTAATGATTCTTCCTCACCCCTTTATCTAAAAGAAATATTTCAATTCTTTAGTGACACTCATTCTCTCAATCTCCGTTCTTCACAAAGTTTATTCCTGTCCACTCCTCTCCACCATTCTGGGTCTATGTCAAATTCTTTCACAGTTACTTCCATTACCCTCTGGAACAAATTGCCTGTTGACCTGCGAAGAATACCTGCCAAAATTTTTTTTAAAGAAAACGATATGCGCATATCCGTAGCCTACAAAGTTGAGTCAATTTACTTTATATGTTTATAATTATTTATACGAGTACATTTATTGATATATGTATTTATAAATGTGTGTATTTATTTATATATGTATATGAATTATATATATGTGTGTATTTTATGTAGGTGTTGCATTTATATATTTGATCTGATTTATATCATGACAACTTAACTGCCCAAACTCACTCTTTGCTCTACCTAAGGTTAGCTGGTAGAGAATGTAGAGAATGGTAGAGAAAGGCGAGCTTAATGCTATATGGATAGCATTAAGCTCGCCTTTTGTACAAATATTTGGTGCAATAAAGAATAAATAAATAAATCCCTTTCAGTTAGTGCTTAACCATGTCTGCCCCCAAGAGGTGTACAGGATGCAAAGTCTATATTTTGGTAAAGAGAGAGAGAGAGAGATAGACCTACAATAAATAAAATTTTCGAAACATTATATCGTAGTCTTAAGGGCTGATAAATCAGCTGTTACCTTTTTTGTTTTAAGTTTCTTGGCAGTAGCCATGGGCTAACTAATTAAAAAATGAGGACATGATGCATCTCAATTTTCCGAGCATGGTCCACCGGAATAGCTATATCGGATGTCGAGGTAACAGTCAATTGCTGAAAGGCTTATCAACTCAGACATATTTTCATTGACAACTTCGAACAGAGATTTCTCAACAACTACCGGTGCACCGACCGGCTGGACGTGACGCGGATGTCTATAAGACGATTAATACCTGTGCGACCTAGCTTTACTTGTAAGAAAAATATATAATTTACATATAATTTATAGGGATGACATCAATCTAGATAAACTTGGAAAGTAAAACATTATATTATAAATAATACTTAATTTTTGAAACCGTTGCCGAGAACCCAATTATAAATATTTAAATGAACCATAATTGCTCGCATAAAATAAATGATAAGCTGACGATGACTGTCATCTAAAGAATACTCGTGAGGTTAAGGAAATATATATGACAATTTATATTTCCTTCACCACTTTGAAGACACTGGTGAGATATTACTAAATGTATAAAAGTTTGTTTTATTTCTTTCTGAATAATTTCTTAATGACTTTCTTCTTCCTATGAAAGCAATAAAAAAGATTCTATGGTGCAATCTATGAAGCTATGAAGATTTATGGTTCTTTCTTAGAGAATATTGGAATCGTGTTTTTTCACAACTTTTCCTCATAGAACTCATTCACAATTATTTGAAAATATTGAAAGGTATGCAATAAATTCGTCCTTTAATCTTTTGCAGTTTTGTTCCACGTCATTACATGCTACATATTGTAATAATAAATTGTTTTTTTTTTACTTTGTGCAAAAATTTACTAGAAATATTAGATAAGTCTATTTTATTTAATACTAGCTGGTACAATTATTTTCCTCAATTATTTTTTCTATGGCATTGCTGCCACAGAAAAAATAACTGTGGAAATATCGTTTTAAATTTGAAAGAGTTATATTGTTTAATTAGGTTATTATGATGATACATTCAATAAAGTTGACTGAGATATAACTTTTAAATAAATTAGTCGGTACGATATGCGTGCCACCTTCTGTAATTTAATTCTACTTCTTATACCTATGACCTTCGCGCAAATGCAAGCAATAAGTTCACAAAGTTTTACCGCAATCTAATGAACGGTATGGCAGCGCATAAAATACGAACAAAGAAACATTAATTTTTATATATTAGATTAGAGTCAATATTATCTCATTTATTGTTCTTTGCAACGCTTTTAACGTAATTTATAAAGGTTGTTGCCATTTTCTTTTATAAATCTTGGTTTACACTACGCTAATATCGTCGAATACGTCACTTATATCATAGTTTGTTGTTTACCATTAAATCTGCCTTTTTTGCCTGTACAGGTCGATAAATATAAAAATTAGGGACTGCTAATAGAAGTCTAATTTTAAACTACGAAATAATAGTGTTATTTTTAAGTTCTCAATTTAATTGTAGAATAAAATTTCATAATTAGTAAAGTAAAACATTAGTCTGGTTTTCACATATATCACTACAAAATATAAATACAACTTGAGATAACAATAATATACATTTATATTATTTACACATAGAACTGTATGTAAACAAAACATTAATTTCAATAAACTTAATATTTTATATTATTTTCATTGTTTGTATTATCATTATCATTAATTTCGACAATTCTTAAGTACTTCCTACTATTAATTATTTTATTTTATTTAAAAAAGGAATACTGCTCTTACAGCACGTTGGTGGCGCGAACTTTAAGATTTCAAACATCCAAAGAGCTCCCAACGCGCTCAGCTATAGATATAAAATTAGGTATACTGTTATCATTAGCATATTGTTTATGCTAAATTTAAGTTTGAAATAGATGCAAAAATTACCCAATGCTCCTAAAAAAAGAGAGATACAGAATACATAAATAAACAATATTCTTTTTTTATATTAATAATATTATTATTGTAAAAATACCGACTTGAATGGAAACGAGTATCGTCACTTCGTCAAGTCGACAGTATAGCTATCTCCCTCTCTCTCTACATCTCTCGCTTCGTGTTCGAGATCTGCAATTAACATCATACGCATTATTATCACATATGAAGATAAGTGATAACTATTGTTAGATAAATAATTCCGCGGTAAATTTTTTTCAAGAAATTAACGTGATTACGAGTATAATACAATTTCTCAAATTAACAATGATTGTAGCAATTTTAATAACATTCTATTTGCATAATAATATATATTGTGGAATGGAGTCTTCCAGTTCTTTTTTCATTTACTCCTAGACGCCTGAATATTGACTACTAAAACTACTAATCAGATCAAACCTATATAGGCTGTAATTTTACATTATAAGTGTAAAGTTCATATTGAAATGGGAATAGATCTAAAGTCGGTATAAGCAATTCTTTAAGTTAAGCTTAGAATAAAGAAAAGGTTTCATAAAATACGTAAATATCTAATATAACTTACTTTTATAAAAAAAGATGTTAATCCAGCCACTAAACCAGTGGTGCATCTATCTAGCATTATGAATTAGTAATACGCTGATGGAAAACATCATATGAACACCAGCATAATATAGAATATCAGCGTAAAATAGCAACTTACGGCCTGGCCACGGGGATCGGCGGCACGAACGGCGAAGCGGCAGGCGGGGCGACAATTCGCGCGGCCTGGTTTGAGGGCCACGGACAGTCACGTTCGCCGCCACGACCAGATAAGCCGAGAGTGAAATGTCTTAATCAAAGTATCTCGAAATTGCTTAGAAAGTAATCGTTTTTTGATTCAAGACATAATATTTGGAAGAGATTGTGGAGTACATGATTTGAATAGGAATCGGGTGATAGATGGAGTATTCCACAAGAAGTACGAGAAGTACAGAATGTATCTAGAAAATTTTTTCGTATATACCAGAATGAGTGTCGAAACCTTCGATTATATTCTTGTTAATACTAACTACTAATTCCAAAGCTGCTAGCAGGCGTAGCAAGTATCTCGGCAATAAAAGTTTCAGTATTCATTTTTTCGCGGCGAAAACAACTAAACTATTTTGTATCCTATACTACTCGCCGCGTCTGCCGCTCGATTCCGTAGTTTGTGTCGTACTGAATACTGATTCATGCCTTTGTTTCAGTCGCCCGCCGCACCGCAAGTCGCCCGCGCGGTTCGCTTGATAAATTTCGCCGGTCGCTTCGCCACTCGCCGCTGCGCGTGGCTTGATCCGTACATTTCTATTCATTTATTTTAGTCGCTAGACGCCTCCTCGTTCGCACCGCGCGAATATTCGCTATGGTGAATGTCCCGTGGCCAGGCTGTTAATGCTGCTGTGAAACGAGGCATTTTATCTTAGTCCTCAAGGGTGAGAACGCATCCGCATTTTCATTCTTAATCTATGATAAATGTAGATGGCTATGGGCCACAGCACTCACTTACGATCAAGTGGAATGTGCAATTGTTTTTTACCCTTAATTTATAAATGTAATGAGGAAACCTACATATCTGAGTAAGAAAAATGTTTCAAGGACATGTGAAGCTCGCCACCACGCACTGGAGCAGCACGATGCACTAAGTAATTGCTCCATAACCCTTTTAGAAATGAGAGGATGTCATTGCCGAGGGCTGACACTTATAAAGGTAACTTTAATCTTTAAGCTGCCACCGATCGGAGATCTTATTACTTGCACGGAACGAGATAGACTAATGGAGTCTCTATCTTATGACGTAACCACATTGTAGTTACTTAATGACTTTACGGATAAAGAAGTAAAGGCACCCAATAATAGAAAAAATTATGTGACCCGCGCTTAACAACTAAAAATGTTCGTCCCTAGACAAGTAAAAAAGTTCATCTGACCGATGATACATCTAACGGATGATTTATGAGTTTCGTAAAACATTGAAATAAAAGCTATTCGAGTTAATAACAAGTTATCATCATCATCATCATCGTCATTACAGCCCTTCACAAGTCCACTGCTGAACATAGCCCTCCGTCAAGGAATGACAGAAAGCACGGTCCTGAGCCACCTGCATCCATCGACTTCCTGCATGACTTACCAGGTCATCACTCCATCTAGTGGGGTGTCGCCCTACACTTCGCCTGCCGGTACAAGGCTGCCACTCGAGAATCTTTTTTCCCATCGGTTGTCAGTTCTTCAAGCTATTTGGATGGCCCATTGCCACTTCAGCATACTAATCCGTTAGGCAATGCTGGTCACTCTGATTCTACTGCAGATATTCCCATTTCTAAGCTTATCACGCAGAGTAACCCTGAGCATAGCCCTCTCCATAGCTCGCTGAGCGACCTTGAGCTTTCTCATATGGCCAGTAGTGAAGGACCACGTCTCAGTTTCATAAGTCGTCACTCGCAACACGCACTGGTTGTACAGTCTCGTTTTTTTACGTTTATAGTCAAGTTTTGAGGGATACCTGACGAGAACATGTGTCGTAATTTTCTGGTGCTGCCCAGCCGAGTTAAATCCATCAATTGACCTCCCAGGTATACATACTCGTCAACAACTTCGAGCTTAGTGTCCCCAACAACTACCGGCATAGGTGTGACATGGACATTAAACATGATCTTTCTTTTGTCCATGTTCATCTTAAGACCTATCCGTTGGGAAACACTATTGAGGTCATTGAGCATAGTGCTTAGGTCCTCCAGCGATTCTGCCATAAGGACTATATCGTTGGCAAATTGAAGGTGAGTAATGTACTCGTCATTGACGTTAATACCGTACCATTTCCAGTCCAGTAGCTTGAAAATGTCTTCCATTGCAGCGGTGAAGAGTTTCGATGATATAACGTCACCTTGTCTTACACCTCTCTACAGTTTAACAGATTTCATACTCCGGTTCTGTACTCTGTCAGTCATCGTAGTCCTACTGTACAAATATTTCTGCACTTCGATATACCAACAGTCAACTTGGTACTGCTGAAAGTACTGCAGCACCGCCCAAATTTCGACGGAATCAAATGCTTTCTCATAGTTCACATACGAAAGACAAAGTGGCAGATTGTACTCTTCGGTCTTCTGTACAATTTGCCGAAGGGGGTATGTATGTGGTCTATGGTGCTTTTCAGAAGCCTTTTCAGAAACCTGCGTGCGAGACGATTCGTAATGACTCTCGAAAACAGCACGTAGACGCGACTCAGAAAGGAAATCGGTCTGTAGTTCTTCAAGAGAGCATTGTCACCTTTATTGAATAACAAGACCACTGCATTTCTGCTACACGCCTTCGGAGTAGTGCCAACATGGAGGACGGAATTAAAGAGCTTCTGAAGGATTTCAAGTACCGGTTCTCCACCCGCTTTCAGAAGCGTCGCTATAATTCAATCCTTGCCCGGGGACTTGCCGTTTTTATATCAAGTTAAAGTGAAGCTAAATAGCAAGCTCTCCGAATGTTACGCGTGCGGAGTATATATTTAATTATTTCGAAAGTTGTTACAATGAATTATGATTGTTTACGTGGTAGAACCAAGCTACAGCTATATACAGTAGATGTTTGTGGTATTTTTTCAAGTATTTAATGTGCCGTGTTATGAGACTCTATCACCTTATATCGGCTTGTGGGTAAAAAACTCATCAAGAGAGCTAATTTGTGGGATCTCAAACAGCCGGGCCTTATTGACACTTGAAAATCTTTTTCACAATAAATCACTGAAGATCTGATCACCAGGTTTAAAACACTTTAAGGCTTTATTCCGGGCGTATGACCGTAAATACGCATCAGAAGTCTTGAGATTGTGTAGGAATAAAATGCGTATTCTCGCAAGAGCCCTGACTGTACACTTTTGTCTAATAAAGCACATATCCATCCTGGTACTAAGTAAGCCAGTACAATTAGAGTCTGTGAGGCATTCCATTTTACTGATAACGCATCTGTAGTCTCCTTTCTTATATCTTTGTTGCAGGTGTCCATGGGCTGCAGTAGCCACTTACCGTCAGGTGGTTTGAAAGTTCCTTTGTCACTTCAGTATTGTAAAAATAACAAAGAATTTGACGAAGAGGACATTATCAACAGTGTGGTGAAATCATATAAGTCCATTACCACGAAGAAACATGTCTAGCAAACATAACATTCAGACAGAGATTTGCTGAAAACATCTCTCGTAATAGAAGTAATAAAAATCCCGTGGCCTGCAATAAAATTTACCATAAAGGAGATAACATGTATACGAAGATCTAGCTCTGTGCACTTTTATTCAACGTTTGTTACATTTTGTTGATCATGAAATGCTACATATTTTTCTATACATAGAAAAAAATGGAATCATTTTTATTCAATATAGATTACATTTGATTCTTATTGAAAGTCATTTTTTACTCTTAGTATTTGTTCGGAAAGAACCTCTATCCTGGGAAGAACAAGCCAGAAACTCGGTGCATATTTTTAATTATGCTTTTGTGATAGCGTAGCATTTGCCCGTTATAGTGCCCTGCTGAACATGTGGCTCTCCTATTATAAGTTTTTTTATAAATTAAGGATTACAAATTAGCACAAATTTCACCTGATGGTAAGTAAGTTCAGTGACAACTATATCTACAATCGGTTGAATCAAAATTTAAATGAGTTATCCAAAAAAAAGTTTCCGGATCTCGTCACTCACTATACGAATCACAGAAGCAATATGCTATTATTATAAAATTATATCGACCCATTCGTGCTGTAAATATTGTGCTGTAGCGGGGTATACATACATACATATTAATATTATGCTGAGCCAAAGTTTCACTTATGCTTTTCCATCCAATACAACCCATAAAAAAAGTCCCCTGCTCAACATTAGCATCCCCCATAAATTGCCTCATAGGGGGGATTTTGCCATAGTTGTCAAGCTTGGAAAGCGGGTGGTAGCTGCAGTTTTTTTTTTAATTGTAAGTTATCATGAAGATGCTGCTGTCATTTCCTGTTTCAGTTACCCCGTGTTGCCTCTTACTACACCCACATGTCGGAATGGGGGTAGTGGATATTCTTACACCGCCACTACACGGTAACAGCATGATATAATTCAATTAAATTTTTCTGTTTAATTTCTAAGGGGGATTTGGAAGCAGGAAGGATTCTGTCGTGCTACTCAGTGCGAGTTGGCGGAATTTACACGTCCTTGAAATATATATTTATTACACAAACAGGTTTCTTTATAAGCAAGTGGGAAATCAGTTTAGTACACAATGCGGGAATCGAACTTGCTTTTTATTATTTTTATATATTTATTTATTATTAAACGTATAAAATTTAGTTTTTAATATACATATACATAGTCCCGCAAAACTGCTTACGCAATTTATCTGCAGGAACATTTGAGTCTCATTTACATTATAATGTTAAAGTGAAGCACTAAGACTAGCCAATAAGTATTGCTTTAATTTGTTTTTAATATTTTGTTTACTGGTTCACGTCGAATATCCTCAGGCAATGTATTGAGAAAGTACGGTAGACGTTTCTTTAAAGTTCTGTCCCCGTAGTAATTATTTACTTTAGATACTACAAATTTGCCTGCAGATATCGACCGTGTACCCTGACCATGCTTAACTAGTATTAGAGTTTGCTCGTGTTATACGAAAATTCAACACTATTTATTGTCAAGGCTCTTTATTGTCAATTATGTTTCTTTCTTCCTTTTTTACAGCATATTAAAAATATCCCCCATAAATTGGATAATAGAAGGGACTCATAGAACCTGCTATGACGGGTTGGTTTAATTGTATTAGTATGTCTAGTTAAGTTAGTTTTATTCAATTATTTTGATTTGTTGACAGGCAGATAATGCGGCCCTCTTTAATTATCCTCCGTCGCTTCTTATGACACTCATGGGATGATATTGGCTAGTGGGTTTTCTTGCGCCGCCATTACATGGTGTATTTCTATATTATATACAATACTTTATTATAACATAATATACAATACTTTATTATATACAATATTAAAAACTATAATAAAAAAACTAAAAGTAATAACTTAAAAAAATAATAATAATAAGAAAGGAAATACAAATGTATACATAGTACCTAAAATAATTACTATGTTAGTAAATTTTGTTGATTTAGATTAGCAAGTGATTTTTTTTTATTTCATCAAGATAAAACGTAAAAAATATTTTGCCTGCAAACAAACTTTTATTAGGTTTCATGCTAACGAACAAAAATAAACGGGGGTTTCTATACGTGAGCCGTGGTATGGATGAGGTTGAAATGGTTAATTAAATATTATGGCTAGTTATTGCTTTTTGCGAATATCTTTATATATATTTATTCTATAGGTGTATTTGTCACTGAACTACTTCTAAACCGATGGACCAATTTTTTTAAATTTTTTAGTGTTTATTTGAGTGGGCCATGGTTCATTAGATTAATTATATAAAAGTGATTAATTAATGTACATAACTTAATTGGTGTAAAAATCTCAATATGTAATTAAACTCTTTTATATAGAATAAGAGTAACAGCGAGCATATAATCCACCTGGTGGTAAGTTGATGCTTTGGGCTATATACATATACCTCGGACTTCGATTGAGAATCAAAAGGTAGATGCGTTGTTACCCCTGAAGACTAAGATAGAATACCGTTTCGGGTTAAAAGAGTCTCTGGTATAGAGACTTTTCTGGTATAGAGACCTTTCCATGTAAAATACAGCAGCATTAAGCTGCCAGTTTACGCGTGGTCCTTCTCCGGTCGAGCCGACTTATTTGTGCTACAACCATAATATAGCTGCAGCTTGGCTTTATCACATGTAAAAAGTTTCTCCTTGTCCGAGACCTCGTATGTAAAAAAGTTGTTAAATCTTTATATGCATTATTAATACCATCACAAAAAATCGTAACTGGGACAAGGAGTTTTATTATGATTGAATTTCACTTAAGCTATAAAGTTCTTAAAACTTACTCATACTCGTTATTTTACTTGTATTATGAAAGCTTTATAAAACGAAGGGAAAAGATCGGTATGCATAATTTGAAACAACTTTATAGTTACATCAATTGAAAAATCCTATTAAATTTGTCAAAGAAATTTGCTATATTACTAAAGTTTTAATGAAATTTCCGCTTCATTTTACAAAAGTGTTAAAACAGGTCAGTTTAAATTATTATCTTGGCATCTTGCTCGTCTCGATAGTTAAAGAAAAACTATATTTTTTTGGCTCATAATATTTAAATAAAATACCAGATACAAGGGCTTCGCGGAAGTTAATTTGGGAAGTGGAACGGAGTCCACAGCAAAATTACTGGCTAACCAGTAAAAGGGCACTTGGCTCCTTGGTAGTGCGTAAGCACAAACATCGAACAAAGTCGCGCATGTCAATGCGTGTAAACGCCATACAGAATACGATCAAATCCAGCCACAGGGAATGTACGTCACTCGGGTTAGGCAACAATAGGCATACTGGCCATAAAAAGCCCTCCGTGAGCGCTACCACCTGCCAGAGCGCCGTTCCTGCAGACGTGATGTAAGTGTAAGGTATCACCACCAATTCCATGATCAACACGGCTAATTAGCCGCAGAGCGTGTCATGAGTCTACCGCTCACCTCAAGGGCAGTCTCACATTGCGCGGCTTTTGACCGCAGCCTTGAGAGCTTCCTCAGTTTCTCCCTCCAGCTACAACCCGCATGAGGTCGACACATATGCTCATATGCTCCAGCAACCAAAACAATGGCAGATATAGCCAATAGGCAGTTATAAGATATAATAGTAATAATTCGCCATCAGAAAGGGTTTGTGTCACTGACGTTGAGTACATGCATTTTTCAATCATGTTTGTCTCACCCACCAACAAGTTGTTTCCAATCATTCAAAATGGGCATTTTACTGAGATATATTGTCATGTTGTTATTTAAAACATCATGGAGGTCAGACAATTCTGCAGCCCCGTAATGAAAGGACCTAACTTGGGCAAAGCTACTTAGGTTGTTAGTCAAATCAAGATACAGAGAGCGCCATTGAGAATAGCGACCCGCCAAACAACCATCACAGAAACGCAATGCTGCAGAACACAACAAGAATCAATACGACTATCGTTGGGCTTACACCATATCAAGGCCGCCCCATACAATCCCAGCAGACATCACCACCCGCATACCCGCATTTCTTTCAATATAATACTTTTACTTATTTGAGACCTTCCACATATTTGTTTTGTTTCATAGACCATACTATTATATGTCTTATACATATGGGACCTCCAAACATAACTCTATCATAATGCTTATGCATCATAGATACCTTCTATATTAATGCTTTTGTATCATAGACCTTACTATTATAAGTTCCTAATATAGTATTTATGATAGTAAGGTCTAATAACAAATTAATTGAATCAGATCAGGGCGTTGCAATGGTTTTTGAGAAATATTTTACCGATATTCCTATATTGACCACTAAGTCACTGAATTCTTCTTCTGCCGTCGCCAAATCATTACTTAAACAAAATGTAAATGCGTGTACAAAGAATTTTACATTTCATAAAATATCATCAAAAGATATTGTAAAATATTTTAAAACTATTGATGTTACGAGTAAGAAAACTGCGGATCTGTGGGGGATTTCCGTTAAAGTTATTGCGTCTATAATAGATACAATCGCGCCTCAATTAGCTATTATTTTTAATGCTTGTCGTGTAGTGGTGGTCAAGAATATACACTACCCCATATCCTCCCGTGAGTGTCGCAAAAGGCGACAAAGGGAAACAGGCAGGAGACGGGCAGCAGCATCTTCCTGATAATAGCCAAACTTACAATAAAAAAGCTGCGGTTCCCAAGCCGCTCGCCAAGCGTGGCAACTATGGCGAATACCCCCCAATGATTAAAGCAACACACAGACGGCCCCCAGTCCCCAGCGGCCCCGCTATTCCTGGCTACGGTGGCGACCATGGTAACGGTGGGCCAGGGGGTGCTAAGAATCTCCGGTGGAGGTT